AGGGGTTTTAAACTCCACTATTTGAGGACTCCAACTTTGCCATAGTTTCAGGTCTAGTTCACCTGGGCCTGTCAAGGCAGAGAGTTGGCTGCTTCTCTAAACCCTGTGCCCCACAGCTGTGGCTATGGTGCTAGTCCTGGAGGGTCGGAGGGTCCCAGCAGGTGCCTTTCTCAAAGGGGAAGAGTACAGAAGAGCATTTCACTGGATTGTTGCTCAGATCCCCTGTGGCCAGCAGCCCAGCCAGAGCTGGTGGATACAGGTTTTAAAGTCCCTGGTGGGGAAGCCCTTTAGCTCCCCTAGACCACTCACCATCTCAGGATGGGGCTGACAATCAGCTAATTGTCAGTCCAGAGGCTGTTCCAGACCGCCCATACTGCTGGGGCACCGAGACTGACAAACAAGCCATTGAAATGTTCTACATTACGTGTGCAACATTTTTATGGCCTGCTTCCTGTTTTACAGTACCTCGTTGCGCACATGTGTAGTATCCTGCCCATTTATGTGGCAGTTAGCGTGCAAGTCTGACAGTAACTCCCACTTCCTCTGCTTTCTAGCCTTTTGCATTAGCAATGCTTGCCAGGAATGTATACACAGGCAGGTGGAGATGAGGGGAGCTAAGGTCAGCATGCATCATATAAGTGATTTACTAGAGCTGGGTATAGCTGTTTACTTTGGGTGTGTCTTTCTCAAAGGGGAGAGCTAGTGCTGTCAACTCCTAACCTGTGGCTCTGAAGCAGAAGTCAGTAAGGTTTTGCAGCAGAGGGCCACTTTAATGGAGCTTGGCTCCAAGCCTTGGCCACTTTCAACCCAATCTGCCCTGCTGGGGCCAGAGCCATGGTCACTGCTCCCTTGCAAAGCCTCTCACCACTGAAATGGTGTGGAAGCCCTTAGCTGCACACACTGGATGAAATACTTTTGAGGTCCAGATTCGGCTTATGGGCTGTACATTGCTGACTCTGCTATAAAAAAAATCAAGTAATTGTCCTGATTTACATAGAATATATATCATAGACCATATATCATGCTCCTTGTATAGCATGGGCTGGGTTGTAATGCAGTGTACGCCTCATGGACCTCTGCCCCATTCAGTCCCCTTTAATAACTACAGCAGCTCACATGGAGAAGAGACGTCAGAAAAGTATCTGCTCTGCTTTCTAGGCGTCTTCTCATGATATTTGTCTGCTATGGGACAGAGGCCAGAATCATGTGACTGTGTGCTGGCACAGTGTTTCTCAGCCTTTTAAGTAGCAAGTACCCCCTAACTTCTGAAAATTTTAATAAGTACCCCAACACACAATTTTCCAGGGGATTTTATATTTATAGACTAATGTGCGCCATATGTTGGAAGACGGGCTGTGTACATAAGGCTGTGACATGACAGATGTCTGAGCTGGTGTGGGTAGGGTTGCCACCTTTTACACCAGGGGTGCACAACTCAAGTATGTACCTGAGCTAGAGGTGATGTTGGCCAAAACTAGGAGGGCTGAACACCAAATTATTACTGGGGAATTTAAAGCACCACACAATGTGCGGCACACCACATTTTTTACCATAGTTTTGAGAGGAGGAAGGGATGAGAAAGAGAGGAAAAGAGGGCAAGAAAGTGTCGGGGTACCTGACTACCCCCTGCCTGTGTATTGCATACCACAGGTTGAGAAGCTATGTGCTGGCAGATGCCCAGAAGGCTCACAGGTGAACAGGAAAGCTGTAGTAAAATAGGCTGTCCTGCTTCTACTACGTTACAGTAC